ACCAAGGCAGTTATCGGTAGGTTTCAGATTCCCTTGAAAACAGAATTCATTGATTCAACAAGGTTAGTTGTCATGTGGCCCCATCGCACCCCATTGTCGTATGCCCGTGTCCATTTCTCTTTATCAATGTTATCAATCCATCTTAATTCATTCATGTTTGTTAGTCTAATCTCATTACTATAGTATTTGAATGTGGGTTCTTTTAGTGCATATCCTGTGTTCACAACCTTCTTGCATAGCGTTTTGTCTTTGATTTCCCGCATGAAATTTTGGGAGATATATCTTATGCAATAGACGTGGGTCGAGGGAGGATCCTGCAAACCGTTATCAAGGTTGTTGTATGCACTCTCAATTGATGAGTGTTTATCAGAGATCAAACATAAGTTAGGTTGGGGAGACACGTAAAAGCGGAGATTTTTTAAGAAAAAACTCCAACCCCCAACAGTCTCTCCTTCAACTATAGCGAAGGCTATTAGAAAAATGTTGTTGTTCCCGTCCTGTGCCACAACCATGAGTAGGGTGCCCTTATATTTCCCGTATAACCATGTGCTGTCAATTTGAATTATAGGTTTACAATATGCAAACTCTTTGATGCATGGTTCAAACGCCCAAAAGAGTCTGTCAAAAATTCAATTTCCACCAACGCAAGTCCCGTCTGGTGTATACGCAGGCATTGTCTCCAATATGGTAACAGTCCCTGGAGAGTAGTGTTTAAGATCCACCAGGAATTTTGGAAGTTCCTTGTACGACTCCTCCCAATTTCCAAACACCCTTTCAACCGCTTTAGGCCTAACAATCTAGGCTTTTCGGTATGAAGGAGTGTAATTGTACCTTTGCATCATATGTGCAATTATGGTACTCACCTTCAAAGACGGGTTGCCGCTAACGACTGGCAGAATCTCATCGCAAATCAATCGAGAGCTGAGTTTGCGATAGTCCTGCATCGGATTCGAGATTATACAAGTGTGGGTCGGACCCATTGACCCTATCTTCCAGGAATCGCTTCTCTTTCTGAAAGACACTGTTAATCGGAACGGGCACTCCTCGTTACGATAATAGATCGTATACCGCGTCATATTTGTCCGATAATAGATCGTTTACATTTATGAAGCCAATATTATTATTACACTCTTACTAATTAAAAATATGTTAAACCTAATAACGAGTAAGTTTTAATAAAAGACGCAGCTCAGTTTCTTTAACAAGACAACACATTGCTTAACAGTTGCAATCTGTCTAATGAACTGATTCCCTGCATGCCTACGATGACCCTGCCTCCGGGCCTACGAGATTCTTACTCTGCATGCAGCATGCTTGACAAGACAACACATTGCACACCAGCTGCACTCTGTCTACAGTAACCGATGCCCTGCATGCCTATCAATTCTATGCAGGTGTAAGACACTCTTACTAATAAATGTATGTCACATGGCCACAATAACAATCTGAACACCATATAATGCATTTTTTACATTAAATGTTGAATATATTTGCAGCTGCGTTACTTTTAATGTTATGTTTGACGCTAAAAATATTATGTTTACATTTATTAAGCCAATATTATTATTACATTCTTACTAATTAAAAATATATTAAACCTAATATAAGACGCAACTGAGTTTCTTTGCACTAATTAAAAATATATTAAACCTAAAACTTTTGCTAGTGAACTGATTCCCTGCATGCCTACGATGACCCTACATGCAGACCTACGAGATTCTTACTCTACATGCATCATGCTTGACAAGACAACACATTGCACACCAGATGCACTCTGTCTACAGTAACCGATGCCCTGCATGCCTACGATGACCCTGCCCGCAGGCCTACGAGATTCTTACTCTGCATGCAGCATGCTTGACAAGACAACACATTGCTTACCAGCTGCACGCCTCAAATGCATCAGAACACTTGCCCTGCATGCATTTACAAGTCACATGCATCAAGACACTTGCCCTGCATGCATTTACAAGTCACATGCATCAAGACACTTGCCCTACATGCATTTACAAGTCACATGCATCAAGACACTTGCCCTGCATCTAACTACAGGTCACGTGCATTCGTGGAATATAAATAGAGGTTCTTTACCCAGCAGAATCTGCTCACACTCAAACTCTCAAACGCTCAAATTCTCAAACTCTCAAACTCTCAAATTCTCAAACTCTCAAACTCTCAAACTCTACTCACCCAGTAAATTCGTAAACCACAATGTCTCTACTCACAATGGACAACTCTCACAAAGGCACGATTGAAAACATCGTCGAGTTTGTAAGTTTTTAGTTTTTGTCTGTGTTTATGATCTTTAGTTCTCCTATAAAACTAACGAAACATTAATTATTTTTCAGGATGCATCAAGGTTTCGATGTCGTGTGCATGATTACATACCACACGACACCCTCATAGAGGGATACCTTCATCATTGTGGGTTTGGTGATTTGATTAAAATCAAATCATACTCGCTCGATGCGAAGTTCATTCTAGCGTTGTTAGAACGCTGGAGACCGGAGACACATACATTTCACCTACCTTTTGGTGAGTGCACTGTGACTCTTCAAGATGTCTACATGTTTCTCGGCCTACACATCAATGGTAAGGCCGTCAACGACAAAGTTGGTGTTAACGACCAACTTTGCGAAGATTTATTGGGCGCCCCTCTTTGTGTGGACGCAACTGAGACAACACACGAGGGTCGCCCAAGGGGTTAGGAAATAAATCTTAAATACCTCAAACAACAATACAACAATATTGTCTTAAGTGAGGATAGCACCGACTATGAGAAAATAGTCAAAACACGGTGCTATATTATGATTTTGTTTGGTCACTTTTTATTTCCAGAGGGCACTGGAAATACCGTAAATATTATGTATTTACCATTGCTACAAAACATAAACAAAGTGTGTGAATATAGTTGGGGATCAGCTTTCCTCGCTCATCTGTATAGTGCACTGTGTAAAAATTCCAAAAAAAATTCATGTACTTTTTATAGCTGCGCCTATCTCCTACAAGCGTGGGGTTGGTTTAGGATGCCAATGCTTGCTCCAGTAAACCAGAATCCATTTACATTCCCGTACGCCAGCAAGTAAGTTTCTTTTCAAGACTATTTAGCAACCAAAATTTCTTTGTAAGTTAATAATTTGTGAGATGTGTTTTAGATGCTAACTTATATGTGTTTCTTTTTTTTAGGTGGTCTGTTCCAAGGATGAATTATCAGAGATGTCCGAGGCACTCTTTAATTGTGTACCGGAACCTCATCGACCACCTTGGGCCAGATGATGTAATTTATCTACCTTTAATTTGTCTAACTTATATGCATAAACTTGTCTATCTTTGTCTGACTAAATGTATCCACCTTTATTATAGTTTGTTTGGATGCCGTACGGGGGTCTCGACCACCAGCCCGACCCCAATGATGCTGCTGTGTGGACATCAAGAACACCCATCATTAGGTTCACTACGGTGGAGATGCACCAAATTGACAAGGTGAAGCTACAATTTGGAATGCATCAGGATATTCCAGATGCTCCGACATCATTGGGGCAGTGGCATCAGTAACGGGTGGACTCACAGTGGAGTGTCAGTCATTGGAAGGAGTTTGCGAAGGAGCTGTGTCAACATTGGAAAAACAGAAGGCAACACATCTTAATCGACCAAATTGTGGAAGGGGCTAGGCCATGTTATCAATATATGACTTGGTTTAGATCAGTCACAATATCTCAGCCAATTCTGTCCGAGCCAACCTATTTGATTGACCCAGGGCAACACGCTTCTTCATCAAACACACAACAACAGTCCAATGCCCAACATCAGCCTTACCATAACCCATACATGCCACCAAATGCCCAACATCAATAACAACATCATTACCATGACTCGTACATGTCACCCACCCAGTCACAGCACCAACCACCATACCAATATAGCCCTGATACGTCTTTTGACCCTACCCCCTCCACCTATAGCCCAAATAACTCATTTGACCATACCCCCTCCAATTATCTATTGTTTGACTACCAAACCCCACAACAACCAACACACCATTTCCAACCCAATTCAATGTACGAATTCGGACAACCATACCGTCCATACTTCACCCAACCTCCCCGACAATCCTACGAAAACATGGACATTGGGCTTAACTACAGAAGCGTCATTGATAGTGGACCTCCCGACTATTGGGCTTAACTACGGAAGCGTCATTATATTGCACCATTAATATATTTTAATATTTATTACATGTCTATATTTTTTAATGTTATTTAAATTTCAATTAATTATAAAAAACATAAAATATCATTTAATATTTATTCCATTTTTTTAAACATTATTTAAAATTCAATTAATTATGAAAACTAAAAAACATAAATTATATAAAATTCAATTTATATAAATATTTTAATTAAACCTATTCATATTTATATATTTTTTAAATAGTTTAATTTGAATTTAAATATTTTTTTATTATTTAAATTGAAAATAAATTGGTAAATCCTAAAACAAATAAAATAATAATAATTAGACCAGTCAAACGGAATGGCGACTCAGCCCAGCCACATAGACATATCGCCATTTGAAGTGACGAGTTTATACAATATAGTTTAAGTTGCTAATTGGTATGGCAACCCAAAGTTGAAATCCAGTCATTTTCGTACATTTTTTGAAAATCATATTTGTTTGGTAATTTTGTCAAAAAAAATCTAATTATATTAAAAAAAAGGGTAATGTTAACTTGTGCCCTTGGGGCACATGTTAAGTGATAAATATAGTAAAAAATTATTGGAAATTGTGTTTTAAATTTAATACAAGTTATATTTTAAATTTAATACAAATTAAACATTAATGATTTTATTGCTTTTTTCAATACTTATTTTCTATTTGTGGATTTCTTAACAGCCCCAAGGACACAAGTTAACATTACCCTAAAAAAAAATTCTAAAAAAGTTTTATCCTACTTCCGCATAAATAACTTTCTAAACCCTAAGAAAAATTAGAGTTCTCGTATGAGGGAAGGTCGCATAGGCGATAGCCAAAACGAAACCGCATGTTCTTCTCGGTCACTGACAGAGGAAACAGCGGGAACCCTATCATCAATGCCTCTTCGCAATTCTATTCACGCGCCGCCGCATCTTCCATTCGATCTGGTGGCAGAAATACTGTGTAGACTCTCCGTCAAACTTCTCATTCAACTCCGCTGCGTCAGTAAATCATGGAATTCTCTTATCTCCCAAGATTCCAAGTTCGCCAAGAAGCACCTCCGCTTGTCAACCTCCAGCGATGACCGCCACCACCTCATCCTATCTTCATCTCAATCCGTTCTATATCATTCTCCAATCTCCTCTATCTTCAGTTCCGGACTAGGGAGTTCCTTAACTACCAGTGTCAAACAGTTCAGCCACTGTATTAGAGAGATTCTTAACGAAAATGCCTATTGTAATGGAGTTTCCACCTGTGACGGCATGGTTTGTTTTATGGCAAGTGATTGTTCAGTTGTTTTGTGTAACCCTTCTATTAGAAAATATAAGAGGTTGCCTCCTTTGAAACTTCCAAATCAATTATTTGCCTTACATACCTTAGTGTATGATCCTTTCACCAATAATTATAAGATTATTGCTGTTAGTACTACTGATAGAAAAACAGAAGTCAATGTTCATACTGTGGGTACTACTGTGGGTACTGATTATTGGAGAAGGATTCAAGACTTCCCAAATCCTTTGGTGGCTTCTCCTGTACCCGGAATATTTGTGAGTGACTCTGTTTATTGGTTGGCATACGATTATGACTCTGTTAATTGGTTGACATTAGATTCATCTTCTTGCTCATGGTTCATTGTTTCTCTTGATTTGGAGAAAGAGTCCTATCAAAAGCTTTCATTTCCTGTCAATGATGTGCAATTCACAACTTCTTTTATGACCTTAGGGACATTGAAGGGTTCTTTGTCCCTCATCTCTCTAAGGGACAATTTTTATGATGTTTGGGTTATGAAAGAATATGGAAATGAAAAGTTTTGGAATAAATTGTTAAGTGTTCCTCATATGAAAGAATGTGGCGTTTATGGCAGTGCCAGAGCATTATATATTTCAAAGAATGACCAAGTGCTGATGGAGTTTATCAAGAATGGGAAATTTAATTTGGCTGTTTATGATTTCATAAATAATACTTTTAAGATTCAAGACAACCCCCATGATGAGATGATGGCACAAGAAGTCTATGCTGAGAGCTTGAAATCACCTTTGTAGATTTTGTGCTATGTGACTTGATTTAGAGACTCAACTTAGGCCTATATTTTAATGTTTATGCTTATTCTGATTACTATTGATTTCATGGGTATCTGTTAATTAAGTTATGGTGTATAGAATATTCCACTTGCTCCGTTATTCTTCATTTATTTGCTAATTGAGTTGTCAGTTTATGCATCGTGTATTGTTTTATATAGTTTACAATCATTAACTTATTATTTACTCTCCTATTCTCAATTTTGTTTTCCATATCCTGTTGGATTCTACATTATGCGGGAATGTTTGACTCAATTTGTTGACCTTTAAAGGCATAACCAACTCTATAGAAGGTAAATTGCTACTTATTAAAGCTGAATAAAGCTACTATGGTTCTATTGTCTCAGTCTATTTAATCATGGTTGAAGTGAGAGGCAAGATATTCAAGAAGCTGTTATTGACAGCACATGGATATCTGTCACTTAAATAGAAATCATTGATTAAGATCTAGTTAGGAATTGGACCATATTGATCAAGGTCATCCTATGTAATAATATGCTAGCCAAAAGAAGGACAAGGACACAGGAAAGTTTTGAGGCCGCAATTAAGTGATACCATGACCATGAGTATGATCACTAGCCTGAGTTCTCAGGAGCAGTTATTTCTCCATCTTCAATGAGGCAGGTATGAATATTTTATTTAGTTTCATCTTCAATGAGTTCTCAGGTTTCGCATGGCAGCGAAGTGTATATATGACCCTTTAAATTGGTCAGCTGTCTTCTTCAATCTCAAAATTTTCAAGAGCAAAGCTCATTAGATCAATGGGAGTAACCAGTTTTGTTTTATAAATAGTCCCTGCAGTATCCAAATATTAAAAAGAAATGGTTTTTTGGAAGAGTGCCTGCAGTAAAGTTCAGCATGTTGTCCAAATCAAAAAAGAAAAAGGTCTTTGGAAGTAGAAAGAGCCTAGAAGAATGCAAATGCGTTTACACTAGATTGACAATGAGCTTTAGTAGAAGTAAATGGAGCAGCACCTCATGGCCAAACATTCACATTCATGAAACTTGTTTTCACATTCTCATATATTGGATCACATTTTCATATATTGGGCTCCCATACGAAGGAGTATAAGACAGTTTTCTATGATGTTGTAGACGATTAGGTATTGCTTTTGATTTTGTCCCCTCTAATAATATATAGCATATTAATCATATAGTATAAAAAATTATAGATACATGTTACTTTTATGACAATTTAAAAATATATAAATTATAATATGTAAAATAGCTATTTTTTATTATGCTATCATGTGAAATATATATAAAAAATAAATTATCATTCACAAATGCTAACAATAATATTATTATCCAACCTGTGTTAGTTTAACATTAAAATATTGTTATCCAACTTGGTAAGATATTCTATATTAAATCTCGTAATCATCATTGGATCTTCTATCAAAGATAAAGGAAACCAATGGGCATCATCCTCCTTAGTTGTGACTATGGAGGTGTCATCTCACCTCTTTATTTAATTTATATTTCCAATTCTTATAGTGGTTGGAGTGAGACATGAATAATGTCCTCCTAGATAGAGCGTACGGAGACATCCAACCTCTTTTTAATATGATCTTAATACTATAGAAGGAAAAGAATATCCCTAGATAGGATTGACATCTAGCTGTTGGTATATAATCTCAAAGGTCCTAATGAAATCTTATTCGTTCGACGAGATCTTAGGGGGGTCAACATTTATAGTCACCAAAACCTCTGCTTGAATAAGGTAAAGGGAGTCGAAACCACTGAATCTTGGATGACATGAATGTGTAAATAAAAGAAAGGGTTGGGCGAGTAAGGGAGTGCGACCATGTTGCCCCGCTCATCCTCACAACATGCTTTCACAATAATGTCGTCCTCGTCGCCAGATTGGAGAGGATGATATATCGCCGAAAGAAGGTCACTTTCTCTTCACAAGCATAATGGGTTCTGAAGTCCTCGATGTTTGTGTATTTGGGATTGTTGGCCACCATTAGTTGTTTGGGTTTTTTGGGAATGAACAGAAAGAAAGAGAGTCAATGTCACTTGTAAAACTACTAGTGGTCTTGTAGCTCTTGAAAACGCGTGTTTCTAAAATCCTATAGTTTATTGAACCATTTGCGCACTTAGCATTCTTCATGTAATGCAAATACATTTATAACCATTACTATTCGAAGGCTCTATCACCTTACCGCTCTCATCTAAATCCCTAATGATTTCCATTAAAGAAGAAAAGGAGTAAAGAGGCGTAAAAACCTATACATGTAATAGATGGAGGTAAGGTTGAATCTGGTGAGGTTCGAAGGTGAGTTCTTTCTAAGTTTGCTGAAGATTCGAATGTGAGTTTGAAGTAGAAAGGATATGAAATGTAAAAAAGTGGAGGTTAAACCCTTATTTATAAAGGACTAAAAGCTAGGCCTTGTAGGTAACGAGTAACCTCTCACTAGGCACACCAATGGTTTCTAAGAGGTTTCCCACGTCTTTGACACATAGAAGGAACTAGGGATGGATTTAGCTTCTCAAGTTAAACCCATCATTAGTTGCATTTAGCGTTACACGTGTGTTTGTTAGTGGCGCTTAAGTTATTGACACCTAGCATTAATTGAGGGACTCACTCAAATCTTTGTTTGAAGGACCCGTCTTAAGGATGATTTGTAAAGCTCTTTGGGGGTTAGCTCAATAAATGGGGGGATGGGTCCCCACAGTTGCTAACTAAAGGAAATCGTCCCTCCCCACATGATTCAAGGAAGGATGAGACCTATTATTTCCACGTTTCCTGATCATGAAGTTGGAATTCGTGATTCTTTGGTTCTTTAACCCGGAATCAATGAGCCTCAATAAATATCTCAACCTTAGAGTTAATAGGTGATCGGATCATTCACTAGAGAAACATTGTTGCACCCTAAAATTTGCTCAACCTATTTCACTTGGTTTATGTGTTTTAATTGCATTAACATTTGCATAGTAGATCATATACATAATTCATCTGCATAGCATAGCATAGTAAGTCATCCAACAAGGGACCAGGTACTGTTCTTATCTCTATGGGCCTATCAGGAGGTTGTTATTCAAATTCAATCTTAGTCAAGTCATCAGAAAGAAGTTGAAGTCTAAAGAAGTCATTGGACCAAGCAGTGGGTCTCTCTCCTATCTTGAGTGTATTTGAAGATCATCAAAGAAATTGTGAGCTGGGGATTGAGCATGGAGGGTATACAGACATCATGGAGGGCCTAGAGGGTCATGGTGAAAGTGAGACAAGTCATTGATGTGGTCACAAGAGTTGCAGTTGAAGGCAGTCAACTAGGGTTTCATCTAGGTCAACCCTAGGTCAAAGACTTGTTTTGAAAGGTATCAAGGATCATTTGAAGAATGTGGGATTCATCATTTGACATGTAGATAAGGATGTGGTGTTGTGCCAAGAAGAAATCAAGAGAAATCAAGAAGAAGAGGAGTTTCTAAATTAGGGTTTCTGTGTAAAATCCCCTAATTTAGGTCAAACTTCCAAGCAAGATAAGTCAAAATGAAAGCTTCAAATGGATCCTTGGCCAACATGAAACTTGTATAGGATCTCAAGAACTTTAATTTGAGTGGTGGAAGACATCAAGGAGATTTATAGAACTCAAGTTATGGTCCTTGCAAGTTACAGGTCATCTGAGGTGTCTGAAATTTTGTCTGTGAAAGTTACTTGTCTTCCAAGCAACGTTTACCCCTCAAGGACATTTCAAATGAATTCTTGGGAAACATGAGAGTTGTTCCTCATTGTCTTAGCTTTCTAGAAAGGTATGGTATGCCTTCATATGATTTGTGGAACTCTACTTATGGCCTTGGCAAGCAAAGGATATTTTGGTCATTTGAGAATTACAGGTCATTTCAAGCCTATGCCCAAAACTCATACAAGGAAGCTTCAAATGAAAAACTTCACAACATCAAACTTGCTCCAAATGACATTTTGAGTCTATAAAAGTGATCATGAAAGATTGTAAATGCTCATAGCTCAAGGTTCCAAATTTGGTCATTTAAAAGTGAATTTAATGAATAAAAGTGACCTAAAATTGAGATTTTTCATACCATGGCCAAATGAGATGAAGTTATAGGTCATTTTGATTGGAAAAAATGTTTTAAGAACATTGGCAAAAGTATATTTTTGAGTTTAGGGCAAAGTTTGAGAGATACCATTGGTTACTTATGTATGAAGTTAACATATGTCAAAACTCAAGGAAATGGTGCACAAGAAGTTTCTACCAAGTTCTAGAGTGTTCTATGATCATCTATATATTGGGTAGAGTGGCTTCATTCAAGGGTTGGTGATTCATTTTGATCAAAATACCAAGTTTCATCTCATTCTTCAAGTGTGCAAATTCATCCCAAACTCTATCAAACCTTCATCAATTTCCAAACTTCTTAATCCTATCATCATCTAAATCCATCAGAGATCAAGTTTCTATCAATATCTGGTTGAATTGAGGAAGAAATCGTGTGCTACCAACTTCATCATCCAAAGTGCAAGAAGATTGTGATTGCAAGATCCAAGAGGTTTGAGCAAGATCTACTGCATACAGAATCAAGAACCAAGTTTGTTGAGCAAGTACAAAGCATTGCAAGCTTCAGATCCAAGGGTTTCTACCTCTGTTTTCATCTTTACACCAGGTTGGTAATCTCATTGAATTAGCATGATTTAGTTAGCATGTTAGAGAATTATTAGGTTAGAATGGTTAGGATTGGTTAGATGATTGTTTCTGGTGAATTTGAGAGCCATTCATGGAGGTTACCATTGGGGCACCAAAACTGTTAGGGCTTAGAACACCTAGGATATGGCATGATAATCTTAGATAGATAGCTCAGGATAATCAGTATAGCATGTAGATTGTGTTAGTGTAAGAATTAGAAGGAATTAGCATGGTTGATAGCAGTGTAAAGTGGTGGAGTCGATGCTTTTGACCTATCGGGTTTGATGCTGGGGTGAGTTTTGGAAGGAACTAATACCATGGT